TTAGAGTCTCGCTATGTGTGTTTCTGTCTATCTGGGTGTCTTTTCCCCCTCTCTGCTACTTTGCTCAGTGTTTCTGCTTCTTTTAGCTGTTTTCTCGCAGATGCACAGAGGGAAATTGTTGATACTTGAAGTTAAGATTTTGTGTTTATAAATAGCTCAAGTTTAAAGATATCATAAAGCCAACTAATCAAGCAACTTGTTAGTTTTGTCCATTTGAATACACACAAAACTCAACAGAGAACTCCCCAATTCGGGTGACATTTTTCCGTACAGTGCTGCTGCTTCCGGTGAGCACGCCTCGCTTATCAGCGCATTTTCAGTTGTTCCCTGCTGGGTGGTGGCCCCACCCAACCATCAAGCCACCCACCGCCACCCACATTTTCCCCGGAGCCTCGTTGCTTGTTTGCCTGTTTTGCATGTCATGCGCTTGTTTGTTTTTTGCTCCTGCTTTCTTCGTTTTGTGCTTCCTTCCGTTTTCAATTTCTTTCTACATGTTCACGTTGTCGGTGGCCCCTCGTCCTGGATTTTCTTATTTTATTTTGCATATTTTGAGCTGCCATCCGAATGACATTTCTGCTAGCTCATGCTTCGAACGTGAGGAACCAAACTGCCTGAACTGCATCTGTCTTTTGTGCAAGTCCCCCTTTCTTGGCTCTGTATGCGAAGGACTTTGCTGCAAATTAATTTCTCGGCCTCTGATCTGCCTGAGAGCGTGAGAGTCGGGTGGGGGAGTCGCCCGCCTTTAGTTTGCGACATTATTCCGGACTCGGAAGTATGCAGCAACTAATTGTCTTTGATATTTGTTTGTGGCAAACGTTTAATTGAAATCTAATTTAATTTATGGCTCCCGAAACACAAACATCGCAAATATTTGCCCAGGAGGTGGGCCGGCTTTAATTGGAATGCCTGCGTCGGGCGGCCAAGTCAACTTTAACGCATGACCTGTCAGATCGAAGCCGCTGGTCCGGCAGTAATTCATAATAATACGAGACGAGCCATGTATACATTAAACACAATAATTTATCGATTTTTCATGGGAGCATAATTCCCGCACGCATCCGCAAAGTAATAATGGATTCGGATGGAGACAGATGGGGAGGTGGGGTGAGCTGGCGATGGAGATGGAGATGACTTCCGCTTTGTTTGCCTTCGATGTCAATAAAAATATGTGGAACAGTCTGTCCGGCCAACTTCATAATCATCGACGAATCAAAGATGACTGCGTGACCGAGGCAAAAGTTGTGATTCGAATTATTTCCTTTTACACAGTAATAAAAAGTGTCTTCCATTTCATACTTTGGGGTTTCATTTTCAGGTTTATTTTTAAAAATGTTAGATCAAGATTTCTATGAGTAACGCATCTTACAGCCCTTTTCTGATTTATTAGCCGAATCAATAACAAAATAATTCCTGGTGTACCAAAGCAATAATAATGATTTCCATCACGCTGCCATCTCTGAGGCTTACGGCTGAGTGATTGACAAAACCGCAGGGGGCTAGGCTATCCAGGACATCGTCCTAATGGCCCATTGACAATTATGGCGCTACTAAATCTTGGCCAGCAGGGACACGGCTAGTGAGGGCCAAGAAAAGCAGAGCAAGTGGGCGGGCGACCGAGTCGGAGTCAAAGTAAACACGGCCCCATGTCATATGCACGAGACCCCGATGACTCCAACTGGTTGGGTTCGTCTTTGTTTGTCTTGGAGGGAAGGACTACGGATTCCATGGGGATGGAATAGGGAGCAAGGAGCATAGAGGATTGAGCAAGAGCAGGGAAGCTTGAGGTTCGGCTCAGGGGCTTGCATATTATTCAATTAAAATCGCACAGCCATTAAGCTTGTACGGACAACTGTCAGCAACACGCACGCAATCAATGTCAACACGCACACACTGCCCCACTCACACACACTCCTGCAAGCGGTGAATGGCAAACGAAACACGCACACACACTTGTGCAGTGGAGAGAGCTCGGTGGGAGTACGTTAATAGAACTTAGACTCGCATAAATGTCAGCTACAAGATTTGATAGCCCCGGGTTAAAACTAAGTCCTTGCATATGCGTGTCTGAAGAGCTCGCTCTTGAAGTGTGGGTGTAAGTGAGTGTGTGTGGGTAGGCGGTGAAAAGCATTTCTCTACTCCCCACTGTGTGTGCGTGTGCGTGTGCGCCCGAAAGCAGGCAAGATGGGCCTGATTTAAATTTTGTGCGCCACAGTAAGGAGTGCTTAAGGAAGAACTTTTATACCAAGCAGAGAGTTCAAAAACTTAAAGCACATTCATTTTCTGGAGTTCAATTAAAGTCATTGGATAAATCTTAAGTTACAGCAAAGAAACTCTTGAATTAACCCTCTCATTAGAAAGTCGAAAAACCTGAAGTCTCCTTAAATTGTCTCACTTCCTTTTAAGATGCGTTTACCTTCAAGAGCTTTCTGTAAATTGTTTTTCGAGGATCTAGCGCAAATTAAGATGGAGCCACACATCAGCAGCGAACACCTCCACACGTCACTTGTGGAGAAGAGTTGGAGAGCCTGGGAGTATGGGAAATGCTGGCTCATCTGGAAACTCGACCTCGTGGCCACACCAAGGAAAACTTTTCGTCTGCTCCGTGCCACTGAAGTTACCGAAATGCCTGGCCCCCCGAAGGAAAACAACGTGGAAAGGCGAAAGGAAAAGAAAACTGTGGCCCCCAATGAACTTTTGCATGGAAAAGAAATGGGGAAATGGGAACGAGACCTGCTGTCAGTGGCGTTAAGTGGCGCCCAACCAAGACGCAGCATCAGCATTTGCCACGCCCCCTCAAAAACCCCTTCCCCCCAAGGACGCCCACCTTATGGCCTGCCTGCTGGGTAGCAGATAGCCGAGAATAAGGAAATATATAGAGTGGGCAGGAGTGAAGGGAAAGCGGGAGCTACACAGATCGAAAAACTTGAATTCACTTTAAAAATTATATAATTTATTTATTCTTCTGAAGGTAAGGTAAGGTTCTAAGGTAAAACCTAATAAAAAAAAAAACCTAATTATGGATTAGAATCAATCTCAGTAGAAATCCCCAAATTGAGATTAAAAGTTAGTCGTTTCTCGAAGTGTTAGCCGCTGATGTAGCCTTATTTTTACGGCTATCGTTTCAATTTTTATGGCTTAAGTTGTTGTAAATTTAGTTAGAAGTAGAGTTCAGCTCTATCAACTGGCAGTCCCGTTCCCCCGAGGGCTCGAGTTATCCGGGGGAATCGATACTCTGCGGCAGCAACTGGGGCTGCGTGTCCGTCCGCCGTTCTATTAGCCGTCAAGCGGAAAATTTAATACTGTTTATTTACACAATTTTCCAGTTAGCCAGGGCATCGCTTGTACCTTAACTTTGGTCGCGTTTCAGGTTACGTAATGCTCAGGCAATGCGGTCTTCTCTTTAGTTTGTATCCTGTCTTTAGGTTAAGGTGGTTAAAACCACACTAATGCAGCGACTCGCCGACACACTCTCGCTCCACCTGTTTCCATTCACACTTTGTGTGGGAAATACGAGTTAACAGTACATTTGCTTTAGTATTTATGCGCTGATAAACATGGAAGACAGCTCCCAACACGCCCACGCCCACGTCCAGTCCCCCCCGAACCCCTCACCTCATCTGGGGGTCTGTCCTGTGCGCTTAGGCGCTGCGTATGTTATTCAATTTGGCCCGGCCAGCACCTGCAAATGTTGGCACAGCACCTGGATAACCTGCTTAACCCCCGGTGACGTGCGAATCTGATTTGTGTCCTAATTTAAGGCGTCTGTAAAAGGTCAGGGAAGTGGTCTAAAGTAGAGAGTGGAAGGGAATACATTAACCCTATAATAGGTCAATTCAAGTTGACTATCGATAAGAACGAGAAAGGTTATTAATATTGATGGGACCAATGCGAAAAACTTCCACGAAATTCATTCATCGATTGTTAGGACAATGATAAAGTCTTTAAATAGAGCGAATTATTTAAACAAAGATAAAAACTGAAAATGAAATTTAAGCTGTCAGAAAATGCTGATATCTTTTTGTATTTTCTTTTTTTAGCCTTCCACTAAAATTAAGCCTTGGAGACAATTTTTTATCGGAGCTGACTTTAAAATGTGAAAAGATTTTGTATGATTTTTTTGCAACAAAACTGAAAGTCATGTCCCAGCAACCCATTCGAACTCCAAGGGCCAAAGGCATTTAAAGATAATACGCTTAAGCGTTTAATGGGTTAAAGTTGGCTCTTTAATTGCGATGCTCCGAAAGTATCGCTCAATCTTTATTGGGCTTCCATTTATTTATTATCGCCTTTCGTTTTCGCTTTCGTTTCCAGTACATTTATTCGAGCAATTTTTGTCTGCCGTGGCAGCCGACGCATAAATAATAAAAGAACTCCGGATCCGGGGCCCAAGCGATTTCCATGTGCACGGCGGCGAATGCAAATCCGGGTCCGGAGTGGAAAAAATCCGGGGAGCACGGAAAAGAAAACGGAAGCTAAGCCGAAAGCGGAATGGAGAAGTGAGCAAGGGGGCAGGGTGTGGGAATTTATGCAAAATCACGTATGCCCCGGCATAAAAAATAAAGCACGAAATACTATAAATAATGCAACAGCCGAAATGCAATGCAATTGGAGAGGCAGATATTTGTTGGCTTAAAATAAACATTGGAGGCAGGTGGGGGCCAGGTGACTAGGCACAAGTACGCCCTCACTCCGAGTCCCGGATCCGTGTCAAACACGACACTCTGACCCACTTTGCAGCCCGGCGTTAATCTTGTGTATGTGCAGTACCATCCCGGGTCGCCGAGATTCAATATAAGATACTCCTTGAAAGGCCCCAGGCCCCTCAATTTTATTCTACGTTTCGGCTGTCATTTTGGGCCTGAGTGGCACTTCGTGTTTGCCTTTATTGGGTTCATCAAATGCCGACAGCAGCAGTCAGCATATGTGGGATAGTTGCCATAGATACTCCAGTGTTTGCCACTTTCTAATAATCCGATGATTGGACCTTCATTTCTTTGCAGATTGAACGAGGTGAGTCCGTGAATTTGACTATGGACCCGTTTGGGACTTGGATGCCACTCGGGCGAAGCCCCAGAAAAATTTGACTCTAGATTAGGCCATAAAAAAAGGCATTAAGCTGTCTGGAAGAGATAACTTCATATGAATTTATTGACATTTGTGTTCGGTCGGTCAGTCGTTCAGTTGGTCAGTCGTTCAGTTGAACTGCCCACTTGTTTGCCCGAAAGCCATTCCCTTATTTCGAGGCAAAAACCTCGCTCCTTTGTGCCCAACTGAGCATGAAAAGGCCAACATCCGTTGCGGCTAATGTGCCTGTGGCCAGGACATGGAAAAAGTGGCAGTTCGAGGGTCCTTTGTGTGAATGCGGCGACTAAGAAATACATAAATAAATTAGTTACGTGCCTGGCAGAGGTCCTCTTCGGACGGCATTTGTTATCAACTGGCCGAATATGAAGCAGAAATATGTTTACCTGCAATATTTGTACACCTTGATGGACAAATTCGATGATTTCAGTTGTCCGAGTTGGTGAGTGAGAAACACTTCAATTTATTTATTTTGCTAGAAATACATTTCGAGGAGCTCATTGTTGGCCTGTAAGTGTGTTTTCCCACCTTTCCTCAAACAAATTCAATTTACTTGCTAAAATTTATTTCGTAAATGGAAGTTCTCGGAAGAAACCCCGAAAAATAACATTTAAAAACATTCTCTTTACTCTTTGCATTTAAAAATATAAAAACGTTTATTTCCTTTCCTTTGATGAACTCATTTGATTAGTTTTTAATTTAAATAGAAGGAAAAAGTAAATAGATTTGAAAATGTAAGGACAATATTTACAGCTAAGGGAAAGTTAAGATAAGTTTGCAGGTAAATATCTTTACGTTCAGCTTTCTTTTGAAATTTCCAAAGAATATTGTCAAAGGAAACCATATTTCCCAGGAATATTTAATTTGACCTTAAGCCTCAGCCGTTGGTGAATGTGGCAACCACATTTCTGTTCCACCTTGATGGATAATTTTGATGAGTCCAGATGGAACATATGCTTCCGGTTACCTCATGTTTAGGGACCTCGTTATTCTTAGCAGTGATATATGAAGGGATTTCCACGTTGCTGGCCAAGTTTAAATCACAAGCTGGACAACGCTTAACTCTGTGGTTTCGCTTCATAAATTTTGTTTATTCATTTGTTTTTTCGCAGTCCTTGCCGGGCTTCGCTTTGCTGCGGTCCCGCTCTTTCTCTCCGTACGTTTTTGTACATATATTTTTGCTTTTTGTTGCTGCTTTTGTCTGTTGGTCAATTATTCAGACCGAAACGCTTGTGGTCAGCACAGTGTGTGCATAAAGGCGGCAGAATGGCTGGGTGGGGCTGGGAAGTAGGGCATTTAAATGGCTTAAAGGGTCTAAAATGGGAAAACGGGAAAAACGGGAAAAACGGAAAAGGGAACCCAACGAGACGTGTGACTGTTGACGGGCTTGTGTAAATTGCATAAACTTGGTAAATGTGCAAAAAGTGTTGCTCGCTTTTGTGCGACAGGCCGGGAAGGAGCTGTTCCATCAACAGGTGGGGCTGGTTGCTGGCAAAAGGACAGGTGGGCCACCCCCGGCAGTCAGTTCATTATGTGGCCGGGACTGTGTGTTTACCTAGGACCCTCTGCCCGGCCCCTCGGGTGTTTACAGTGGTGTCAGTCATTGGGTTGGTCACTCGACTGCAGCTCCAAGTCCTTGGGCGCACTGCTCGCATCCTGTGACCACATCCTGTCGTCGGCACGCTGCTCGAATGTCTGTCCTTGCACTTACAGCTCGAACAAGTGACGAGAGAACGCCTTCCTCGGACTCATTGTTTACCTGAGTGCACTAATAAAAATATCAAGGACTCGATCCTAAACTTGTGAAGGATCTACATGGCCCTATTAAATCAATAATACCATTAACATCTATGTATGTTTCTATTAAATATAATGGTTACTTAAGTATATACATTTTTATATCATATTTGAGGTCTTGGGAACTTTTCCCCTCAGTGTAGAACTCATATGACTTCGTCCAGGACCAAGGCATTATAACGCCAGGACAAGGAAGCCGAAGAGTTGCTCCCCCCTGACGAAGGACGACCAACAAAGAGCTATTTTGCTGTACGCCTCGAATGGGTGGGTGTGTGCCTGTTGGGGGCACAAGAAATCAAGCGTAATGAAGCCCCAGACGAACGACAGACAAAGGTTTACTTTGCTCTCGACCGGCCCATTCAAAATTCAACGAAATGATAATAGATAAGCCGCTTGACACTAACACGCTTACGCACTCAGGAGTGTGTTTTGATTTGGCCCGAAAGGTGTGCGAAAAGAGCAGCCCTTTGCCTTTCTCGCCTTTCTCCGTTCTGCTTTCCATTTAGCATTTTCCACTTTCCCTTCGAAAACAGCGACCAATTAGAGCGGAAACATGCTCCGGGATTAGCTGCGAATTAGGTATTGTAATTGAACGCATCCCTGGCGATACAAGACAGTTGTTAATGGGCCGGCAGGTCGTTGTCCTTGGCGAATAGAGTGGAGCAGCGAGGGTGGAGTGGAACACCAGGTGGCTGGAGGTTTTTAAATGGTATTATGCATTCTGGGCAACTTTTAAGTGGTCAAGTTTTAAGTGGGGCCCTGCCAAAAGTTTGCTGAATACGCTGGAAACGCCAAGGAAAAGCAATCTGGGAAAACGACAGCTTAGGCAATACTTTCAGGGAACTTTCGAGGTTCCTCCTCCCTATTCGCCAGCTAGTCCATTACCCATTTAATGACAAAGTTGTTTACTTTTGTCCACATAAATTACATACGTGTACCATTAAATAAACTATGGGCGGCTGGTTTGTATCGGCAATAACAATGAAAATCATAAGCTAATTGCCATAAAAGAGGGAAAGAGGAAAATTTTAAGGGAACGTCAAAGGCAAGACACGAAAATCGCTGCAGGAAATGATGTGACGTGAGGCTTTTGTTTTGTTTGTTTGTTGGCTGCTTTTTTCCCCAGTTTGCCCTTTGCTGTCCGAAGCAGCAATAATAACAATATAACGAAAACGTTTCCAGGGTCAGGGGTTGGGATCGAGTTAAGCTTTGTTGTTTCGGCCACAGCAACATCATTGAAATTGACTTCATTATTATTTTATAGTCTTGGCCTTAAGTTTTGCCAGCTCTGCTTTTTATGGCTTTTTATCAAATCTTACATTGTGGTGCTTGTGGCACGTTTTACAGTGATGGTCCTCGTGTTGGCCTCCTCGTCCTCTGCTTATTAAAATCCATCCCCGGGCAGCTGGGAACCGCTCTCTCTCCCTACACGGTGCTCTATATATGCACAGTATATACAAGGATATAAGCTGGGCGGCGGGCCTCAGGCAGAACTGATATAATGCATTTTGCAACAGTCCTTGTCTTGAGCACAAAAGCCAAGGAACTAAGTGGAGGCGCCATTAGCAGAACAGTGCAAGTGGAGCCATTAGAGGCGACTTCGATTACAAACGGATTTCCTCTGTCGTCCCTCTGGTACTAGAGTTTTATTTCGAAGAAGTCTTGTTGCTATGGAAAATAAAGATATCTGATTTATTTCCTATATCTGCAGATACAAAGGTTTGAAAGATTCTATCCGTTTTACTTATGAATCATATAAAATCATGAACTTCTCCTTGAGTGGTTTATTTAGAACTCAAATATTGTCAAACGACGTTGCTTTAAGCTGGCTTGACCTCCAAACACCTTTGCTTTGCATAGGTAACTTCATTTCCCCCATCACTCCTGGCTGGCTTTTCCGTTTTCCGAGTGTCACTTGCCATTTGCCAGTCACTTATGCAGGTTTGCCACTATTTGCTTTCATGTTTTCCTTCAGCCATTATGTAAATTTTTTATCGCCATTTTGGTGTGCAGCTTTTTAGTTTTGTGTGTGAGTAGACAACTCGAGTCGAATGCTTTCACTTCCGCCCACCGTCCACCGTCCACCGCCCACCTCCTACTACTCCAGCTACCTCCCACTCGACACCCACCCCCGCCCCTCGACACCCACTTTCCTTTGTCTTTGTTTGTTTATGAGCATTAACGCACACCCACTTGCACATGAGCACTCTCGGCGGGTTTTTGTTTTTTTGGGTCACTTTCAAAGCTCTTGGCGCTCTTCAAGTGGTTTTAGCACACACTCGAAATAATTTCGTGTGTGGAATTCGCTGCCTGCGCGGCGCTATCAATGCGATTAAAAAACAATTACACTTGTGACACTAATGGCGCAAACACACCCGTTCGCGGCTTTTAATATATATTTTCCGCACGAATATTTGCCTTTCATACGGCTTTTATATTTATTTCGCGAGCAGGCACAAAAAACAGAGCCTGTCTGTTAGTGGCATCTGCGAAAAAAGCGCTCGATTTGTTTACACGCCAATGGCTGCTGGCCGGATAACCACATCAAAAATAAACAACAAATTCAAAATTGATTTTCCAAAATCAAAATAAACAAAAATCGCATTGCCAGCCTTTCATTTCGGGAGTTTTATTGTTGTTTGCGATGCCGTGCGGCAGTTGCTTTAAAGCTCTTTAAATTAATTGCCCGGGAAAATGAAACGGCAAAATGGAAGCCTAATGGCGAAGGCTAATGGCTGGCCGACATCTTGCGGCATTATTAACATGATTGCCACGAGGACCCCCTGGCGCGTCCTCCGGGGGAGAAGCTTATCAATGAATCACCAAAGCATGTGATTGATGATTTGATGTGTGTAGTGTCGTTCCATTTCCCGCCCGGCCAAATGTGGCTTCTCTGACAAGGATTAGGTGCCCACGCAGCATCCGAGTAAATACCAGGAATCCCGGGGATTCTTCTTCGGGGGAATGACAGCTCACATATGCATATATTTGCTCAAGTTCGTGCGTGTATTAGTCGCTCTAAGACAGATTAAAAGTGAAGAGCCTGCAGAAAGTTTGCCTTGCCTTGCCGTATCTGAATGGGCATACCCTAACTTTGCCTCGAACAATACTATGACTAGCACTAAGTAAATAAACATTTCCCACTAATTTTAGCTGCAGTACCATGGAAATGTCTGCGCGAATGACTCAGTCTGAAAATTACCTTTTCAATTTTCCCAGGTACCATCCACCAGAGCATTAGGAATGATTCACGGAAATTGTCAAGGCCAAACAAATTAGCTGATGAGTCTCTTTAACCTAAAAATTTAGTTTCTAGTGTTTAGTTTAAATTCTCTTTAAGTTCGGTTCACTGACATTAATTTAAAACCTTGAGTTTGAAGGGTAACAGTTTGAAGGCTTCTTGTCCCCTTCATAGCTTAATAGATTTTATCTTCGCTGTCAAGGGCAGTGCCTTCGAAGGGTATTAACCAGTCAGTACAGCCTGATGTTCCCCTACTCGGTTCTTTTCTGTTTGCCGACAGCAACCGCCATCATCATCAGCAGCTGTTTGGGCTTCCGCCGTTTGTTCGTCGGCGGCTTCAAAAGCTTTGCCAGGCTTTTTCTTTCTTATAGCTGGTACTACAGTTGATTTTTACCCAGACACAGAAGGGTATACACACACACATACTCAGATATATATAAGTTCGATCCAGCCCCTCACGAATTTCTAGACCAAAATGTTTACACATACGCGCGATTTTCTTTTAACAATTCATCAAATGCGCTAAGCGCGCACAAAAACTTTGACACTCGACGTGTTCGGTGTTTGGAAAGGGGAATGTGCCCCGTGCGACCCCCGCTCCTCCCCAAAAGCCATATCAATCATCGCCCAAAGTGCGTGGCTGTTGGACACCTTTTGCAGGTGAGGCGGCATTCGGCACACGGCACGAGGCGGTGCGAGGCTTTAAAATATTTATTTTGCCTTGCCGGGAAATGTTGAAGGCTAAATACAATAACTCAAAGTGATTTGCCAGGTGGAAAGAGGCAGCCATTATTTGCATGTCCCCCTCGTTTTCCTTAACCATGCATTATTTATTTTCCAGAGCGCAATTTGTTCGCTGCAGACAATCGAGTGAGGAATTTGTAGCAATTAGTTAGGGCCTCTGAAAAATGCCAGCAACTCTTAAAGGTGTTGTTTCCAAATTCCTAAAGCAGACATTTGCTAGATAATCCGACTGGCTTGCTTTGGGCCAACAATGCGAGTTCATTGTCAACATTGCGCATACGCCACGTAGGCGGACCGCAACATAAATATGGGCTTAACTCTATTTATTTGCTCTGCAGCTGTGTCATTTAATTAGTGTAAACAGTTTTTAGGCCCGGCCTAGCTGCTGGGTCAATAAGCTGATTTAAAATTAATTACTTATTAAATGCAAGGGCATTTGTGTGTGTGGCCTTTGCACCCAGGTGATTTATGTAAATTAATTAAATAAACACCTGTGGCCAGTAGCCCTCCATGGGCGAGGATTCGTCCACCGCAGGCCTTCTGGGAGCCATTTTCGAATTGGGTCCTCAAAACGATAGTTCTGGGCCAACTGTCTCTCGTGATCCGGTCCAATTTACCCGCTCCCTAATTGCAGCGACCTGATTTATATCGAATGTCAACTGGAGCAGGTCCATAAATTTTTTTTGGAGTTGCCTTGCGTGGTAGGTTGGCATAAGGGACTCCGACTTGGCTTATTCCCGGGCGATAAGTCCTGGCCCTGCTCCTGGAAGGCCTTCGAAGGCGGCAAAGTGTGCGCATGATTTATTTTCATTAAAAACTTCTTTTGCGGCTGCTTAAGCACTGAAACTTTTCGCGCCGCTCACTTCATAAAGCAGAAAAGTGGAAAACTCAGCAGAAAGAGCCCGCGAAAATTTTAATCTGCACATTACGAAGTTGCGAGGTCCACACAAAGAAGCCTTTTGCATCTTCCCAGCCCTGAAGTGCACTCATTAATTTCCAGATTAATTTTTGGGGCCAGCTAATAGGCAAGCGGAGTTCATGGTGTAATCAGGACGCCGTTCGTTAAGCTTAAAAATGGCTGCAAAACGTTGACCTCCGCCCATTTATAAAGAGCGCCAGCCCTCTGAAATCCAAATTCATTTGTTTGCCTGTCCCATGGGAAGTACGTGCGTGAAGTTGCACTATTGAAATGGCAGATTGCCATTGCATTGGCACGCGATCATTAGTCAAGGAGCAGGAACTGCAGCCTGACACTTGATGAAAGCAAAATGGAGTAGTTCTGCGGAAAAACCCTTTGTAGGGGGAAAATCAAGATACCGGACACCATTCACAGTTCTACAGCAAAGTGCTCGGAAATACTGAAAGATTGAATCAATTTATCCATGCTTGTATTTCCTTATGTATTTGGGAAGTCTTAGTGGGATTTCTTTTAAATATTTCACATCTCTCTTTAAGTCGATAATAACACAAGGTAGAAGCCGTACTCAGCTGTTTGCCCCAATCGATTGCCACAACGACGTCGGTAAATTGAAATTGCTTTCTTATCGCCAGCCGAGGACAATGCAATTAGTAACTGATTTAACTGAGGTAAAAGTCTGAGCAACTTTAGTTTTTGCTTTCTATCCGGTGGCTTTCACCCGGAGTTTTCCGTGTTTCCATTGCGTGATCTGTCAGGGCGTTGGCAAATTAAAAGTTCTCATTTCTATTATTTGATTGCCAGGCCAAAGCGAGTTTTTATATAAATTAGTTTGCTGGAACTGCTGTTACTGTCGCTTGCTAATTAGACATGGAAAAGTTGGACTTGTCCAGGTGTGTAAAAACCACAACGTTCCGTTCAATTGCGAAACTTTGATGCCTGAAGCCTCAAAGTCTCACTGATTTCGCCATAGTAACTGCAAGTCCAGTTGGTCTATTCCGTATATACATAGTATATATAGTATATGTACTATTCCCCTCCCCCACTGCGACATAATTATGTGGCGGCAATTTGCATTGCGCCCCCGACACAATAACCATAAAACGCCGTAACAATCGAGCCCAAGAAGCGCCTCCGAGGAAAGGCAAACAAAGGAGCCGGGTTCAACGGTGCAGCAGTTATTTCAACACCTTTATGGCGGTGTTCCTACATTTGTTAGCCGCAAACACACACTTGGGAAAAATGCAGGAATCAAGTGATTAGAGTAAAATATAGATGTACCTGGGAATAACCAGATTTAAATGCCCAAAAGTTCGGATTTCTTTCTTTTTGAGTCTTTTAAAAACTTACCATCTATCAACCTACATAAGCCCTACATCTTAATCCTTGCATTATCATAGAGTTAAGCTCTTGGATTTTGCCAGTGTAAAGTGCCGGCCACAATGGGTCTGGCTTTAGTTCTGGCCAATGACCAGAGAAGGTGGCCCAGACCTGCGGCTGGTAGTGCGGATAGAAGCCATGGGCTGACATGCAAAACAAACGCTGTTCGGGGCAGCTACGTGGAAATACATTTACAAACCGTAGATAGACATCTGAAGATAAAGCAAATTGCTGGGCTACAAAATCGTTAACTGTAATTTACCGCATTTGAAATGTTGGCCATTCGCCATTCCCATTCCCTTTCTCGATCCTAGATCCCGCCGATTCTCCATGCAGTTATGAATGGTCGACTAGCTGAGCAGGTGAGTCGACTTTAATTGTGTTTTTCAAACGGCCAGAGCCAGACAGCTTTGGTGAAAATGGCTGAAGTAATTGAGGCATACTGCTGGTGTAGGTAGTCGGATATCGGAGGTGGTTGTAATGGGAAGCACTTGAGAGCCACTTGCGAGCCGTGAATTAGGTTTTGAGCGATTGCTGGGAATGCAAATGAGTGCCAGAAATCAGCCGACTTTCCCCACTTCCAGCCCATATTAATCATACGCACTGCGGCCGTCGACGCCCAATTTGCACGAAGTGCAATCAGCTCAACTATGCAAACTCACGCCCATCCAGCCACTCAAGTGCAGTTCCAAATTGAAAGCGTGCCAGTTCGGGCTGTCGCAGATCGGCAAACAGCAGCCAGCAAATGGAATATATGGCAAACAGCCCGCAGAGGCATCGTGAATGCAAATGAAATCCGCATATCTCCCGCACATTTCATCTCGTTCCGCAAGTGGGCCATAAGTTTGTGTTCAAACTACATATATTGCAGCTTCTGGCAGGGGAAGTGCCTGCCAAAAGTAATGAAACGCCTATCGAACTCCTTTCAGCAAAGGGTAAACTATATCAGCTGTGTAAAAATCTTTTAAAAATCATCCCTATTTGCTTAACAAACACTAGCCAGCTAGACCCCAGAGATTCTTTCCCACTAGAGGTAAAATTCTCATCACTGCAAAAGCACAGAGCTTAATAATGAGAGATAATGTAATATGTCACTTGGTGGCGTGCACAATGCAATTAGCTCCCGTGACTCCTGGGTAATACAAATTAGCGGGCAGAGTTCAAGTGGGTTCCTTGGGGGAAAATGAAACATCAGTTGGCCGCGCCGTTGACTTTGGAAAGGTCAAAAGTCAGACTTTGTCATTCTAAATTCAGCTTTCAAAGCAAAAGCAAGTCCGTCTTTCGATTTCCCTGGATATGCCTCGTCAACGTTCCGAAAGTAGATCCTCAGGATCGGTGCGCCGACAGAGCAGTCGGAGCAGCCATGTCTTCGCCACAAAGCCATCTCGTGGTAGCAGCAAGGATCTTCCGGCGGTGCAGCAGCCCAAAAAGGAGACCCTGCCAGCAGCTGCTCCTGCTGCTCCTGCGGCGGAGGCCAAGGGTCCTACAACGGGAGAGCGGTTCAAGGACATGGCCACCACGGCGGCTGGAGTAGCAGCGGGATCCGCCGTAGGCCATGCTGTGGGCGCAGGACTCACCGGGATGTTCCAAGGACGTGGCCAGTCTGCTCCTGCTAAGGAGGAAACTCGACAGGAAGAATCTGTGGGAGCTGCAGCTTCAGCCGCATCAGTCGCCTCACATAAAACACAGCTGGTGGAGGATGGCCCCTGTGCCTTCGAACTGAGGCAGTTCCTCAAGTGCACCGAGGAAAACTCCAATGACATCTCCGTCTGCAAGGACTTTAACGAGGCAATGCAGCAGTGCCGTCGGCGCTACAATGTCTGAGACTATAAGAAAATCCCTACCGGAAGAGGCTAACGGATAAGATTTCCTTCCCATATTTCAAATAGATTGCCCAAATAAAAACATGTTCATTCTTTTTTGGATAAAACCGTTTTTAACAAATAGAGTTGTGATATAATTCCCAGTTATTTGAACCTTTTGGCTCAGTTTCGACAGCGAAACCACCAAATGCTTAATTTTAGGCCCCACATGCGAGATTTTCTTCCAAAAGAAATGAAGAAAAAAAAGTTTGAAATATGAAAACTCATACCGCTTTGTATTCTTAATCCCATTGTTTACGAAATTGTATTAAAAAAATAAAAAAATAAAATTTCAATTTTTTGCAAAAAATGATGATGGTACCCCTTACAAAAAATCGAAATTTGTCGAAAATTTTTTTTTTTCAGATAATGATAAAAAATCAATATTTGGGTCTTTAGTTACTAAAAAATTTGTTTTTTTAACTATTTGGTAAAATAATGCAAAAAATGAGTCTGAGGAGTCTGGCAAAGAAGGCGAAAGTCTTAGATTCCTAAATCAGTGAATAAATTAAATAATGAATAAAAGAAATGAAAGATAAAGTCGATTTAAAAATTGAGTCTTTTCCTTCGAAATCGCTCTTGGCGAGCAATACCCTGAGAGGGTATAAAAACAGACTTCGAAGAAGCAAATTAATTGGCGTTATGCGGGCAGCCACCAACAAGAACTCGGATCCACAGCTCATCCCAGGGCTCCAGGCCATCCATCTTGCTTGCCGAAACATTATTGATGTTGATTGATTTATAAACATTTGCCGGGAACGAATCGAGAGTTGGGCCAATTAAGTTGTAGCCAAAACAATAAACAAAATGAAATTAGCATTGCGTAGACTATCTCTTTCGCAGCCGTAAGGGGCCTCAGCTGCTGTCACATTTGTTCACATGTCAGGCGGGCGGAGAATTTTCAGCGAGCAAATATAATTTGCTCGAATATTCAGAGCAGAGTGAGTGGAAATTGTATACTGCTGATTAACATGGACTGAAATAGAAGGGGACTTTCCCACTCAACAACATGAAATTCAGCATCAGCATCAATCAAGTGGCATTTGCAGCAGGGTCTGCCTTCGGCTTTCTGCGGTTGGCAATAATTTAATGAAATATTCCGTTTGCCACATGAACTCGCTGCCAAAATTCTGCATATGGGCCACTGACTAATTCGAATTAGGCCCAAACTTTTGCCCGTTCGCCTAATTGCCGCTGTGTTTTCGCTTTTCCTCCGAAAGGCAAAAATAGTCAACCGAACTTTAGCATGTTCCCAGCCAATTAAAGCATTTCCGCTGCACTCTCTAAAAGGAAAGCGGATTGACTTTGTAGAATAGCAGAAGTACCAGAACTCGCTTTTCCAAATACTCTTTGGGCAGGCTAATTTCCTATGCGGCTTCCCTAGTTGGTGAACAATTTAAGATGCTTTTTGTTAATGTTTTTCAAGTGCTTTCGCATATTTAACTCGATGGAATGGTGGAAAAACTGGTGAAAAACACACATCAAAAACAAACTACAGAAAGAAAAACGAGGAAAATTTGCAATTTTGTATAAATTTAAGTCGTATTTAAGGGCGAAATCAAGTTGTCCGTTATCAAATGCCCATTGAAAGTTTCGTATATGGGTGATGGATTTCCTTTTTAAGTAGTTTATTTTGAATGTCCTCTTTTTGACAGTGTACTTTGAAGGCTACATGCCACCACCACCAGATTACCCCCTTCCTTGGGGAAATTTTCAAAGGGAAACCAGCTGGAGTTGTGTATTTGTTTTGCTTTCATACCTTTCGCGTTTGCCGACAAATTCATTATGTGTTCGTAATTAGTGCGGGAAATGGGAAAAGCAAACGCAAAAAGTGAAAAAGGGAAAACAAATTAGAAATACTTTTTTCGTCCTTGCTGCACGGAGGTGGCCGCCAGGTGGCGCTGTGGCATGCGCTTGGCAATTACCCGGCAGGCAATGCAATATAAATTAGCTGACAAAGCTGAAAAGCGGATCCCCTGGGCAGGCCTGGAGTTTATGAACTAGCCTTCAAAGCAGCCTCATAGCTTCAGAGGAGTCATTCGAAATTGTACTTTCACTTTGGAAAGAAGTCTGAATTTTTGTAGAGCTCAAAATATACGTAAAAAGTCGAAAAAATGCCACGCAGACAAAGGAGCGCTTCTGCCAAGCCCAGCACCACCAACCGTTTGCCAGTGATGCTGCCCTCCACCCGGAGTTCGGAGATGATCTTCAAGGATGTGGCCGCCCATGCTGCAGGCGTGGCAGCAGGATCAGTTGTCGGTCACGCGATTGGCACTGGGATAACCGGATTGTTCAGGGGGCGAGGTCAGCAGCCACACCACAGTGACTTGGTTGAGGAAGGTCCTTGCGCCACGGAAATGAAGCAGTTCCTCAAGTGCCTCGAGGATAAAGACGATCTCAATGCGTGCAAGGAGTTCAACGATGCTATGCGACGTTGCCATCGCCAGCATAATATTTAGAAAGCAAAAATCTCGTTCCGGTTTTAAGAGAAGAACTCATTTTGTAAAATTTGAAAGTTTTCCTAAGCCTCCTGACCTATTAAATATTAATCTTTGAGATCTCTTCTTTAATATTGGTGGATGAAACAAAGATGTCAAGAAACATAAGGACTCCTGCTTATTGTTAAGAAGCACAGGTTACTTTCTCCAACCTAGACTCCTGAGATACATCAAGGATAATGAGGACCAAACTGCTTACAACAAATTAAATAGAGCTCCGTTCCCATGTCATTGTCACCATAATCTGCCCATATAGGATCCGAAAACCCTTTTCCAATCATTAAATATTCCATTTTGTCCTTGGGTCAAATTTGAATAGACTTCAGCACTTCCAATCAAGTCCAGGCGATGTGGGTGCGCAATTAAAATGCTTTATGACAGGTCCTTCGTCCTTGGGCGACCCCCTTTTTTCGCCACTTTAAAGCGGCTCCATTGTCACATGCTCGCTGCTCCTTTGGCGCTGTTATTTTTCGCCATTCTCAGTTAATTGTGATTTTGTTTACCGACATCCTTGTCTCTCCTGTCGCTCGACCCCTGTCAGGATCTCGGCTTTGTTTGCCCTTCTACTTTGTCTGTGGATCCGGGCGCATATTTACTTTAATTTTGTTTTGTTATGTTACTTCGCCGCCGCCCAAAAAACTCATCCTGTCCACCCCTCATCCCTCACCTACCCACCATCCAGCGATTTTGGCGTTGAACGCGCTTTTCTCCTCGCTTTGAGCGCTTTTGTTTCGCGCTGCGCGTTTTTCCATCTTTTTATTTTTCCGTGAGCCCCAAACTTTTTCATTTCGTTTTTTATCTGCTTGGCTTGCGCACAATTAAGCCAGCGAAATGTTTTTGGCCACGTCAAGGCGACGACGTTGACATCGAGGACCCCAGAGAGAATACCCTTTTTAATTTCAAGCATATTTTTCCAGCGGCGAACTCCTTAGAGGGAGTTATGCCTATAGCCCAACAGTCAGACCTGCCTAACCCGAACAGTTTGGCATTGACTTAAGGAGGCTTTCATTATATTTTCTCGATCTTATGTTTCTATCTTTAAATTTTGTTATTTTGATAGCTAAAGGTAATGAAATCAATTCAAGTTGACCTCAAGAATATTGATTAACTTCTGTTTTCTAACCAAACGAATGAGTGACTGCCACCAAATGCTGTGAAGTCATTAAAGTTTTAAAGCAATTGCCTCTTAATTTTTACGAGTCAAGCCCAAATTGCACTCCAGGAAGGTCGACTGTATATTTGCAGCTGTCTTAAGCGCTTTGTCGGGCTTAATGAAAACAAATTAAATTTTTGGCCGGCAGCAGCGGGCCTAATAAATATTTATTATGTACTCAAAACTTGGCCGGCTCACACGCTCTTAAAGAGGGCTTCCTGCAGGCCCGCTCCCGCTGATATGACACATCCAGACCAGAAGGCTGCTTCTGGCAGCACGGACCTCCCGTTGCGGTCAGCGGAAACTGGGCGGGAATGTTAGTTTGGATGCGGACACGGGTCGAACGCAGCTCGGATCTGACATGGCTGTCGGGTCAAGCCATAATTACGTCCAATTAAGGGGCTTTGAAGTGGAAGCCAGTGCTCCAATTTCAGTTAACATTTGCACAGAATTCGAGTTCTAATTTAATTTTCTCTCATCAAGCTACCATCTACGCAGTTTTTCGAGTGGGAAAACTAAGTGCAGCATAAAAAACTATGATTTGGTTTATTGATAGTGGAATTATTTCACTCACGTTGCTAATAGAATGTTTACAGTAATCAAGTGAAGTGAGTTTTGTGTTGCAATCGGTAACGCAGACTGAAAAAACCATTTTAATTCCCTGCATTTCCGTGCAGGATTAAGTTCCATCAAAACTACAGCACTGAGAGTGGCATCCAAAATTTGTGTAGCCTGTCAAGCCCTGAATTGCTGACGATATCATTGTGCTGCAGTCATTAGCAAGGGACAACATCAACCATATCTGATGTGAAATATGATGCGAGGCAGGCAAAAAGCGGGAAAACACATTAAGGGCGATGCAGCACAATCCAATACACAATTCGGGGCAGATGCAGATGGATTTGCAGTTGCAGTGGCAGGTGACGAGTGCAGCGGCAAAAAGTGCTCCCTTGATTGCCTCTTTTTGTTGCCCGCTGAATTTTCCTGTTTTCCATTGTTCTCTTTCACGCTTTTCCTGCCCAAGGAACAGAGGAAAGGAAAGGAAGACGAAGAGGAAGCGAGCGGGCGAGCGGAAAAGTGTGAAATTCGATATGGCAAACAAGCATTGGACTGCGAGTCCGCCGTGTTTTAACTCTTTATTGAGGTCTGTGTATCGGAAGAAATATCCACAGACTCTTTGCACACAGTTTTATCCTTATTTTCGTCTTCTCACTTGAGTTTTCCTCTTTTCCTTTCTTTAATTTAAACATATACATATTTACCTGCTTAAAACATTCACATTTTAACAGTTTCCTCTGCGGCTTTTCCCAGTGTATTGTATGGTGTTCTGCGTGTGTTTTCTGTGTGCATGGGGGCGTGGCCACAGGAGGAAGGAAAGGCGAGGAAACCCGGCTGCGGGCAAACAATGAGAAATGGCTGCTCCACCTGGTCCACCTGCTCCACCTGGTCCACTGGCCACACAAAGTGTGTGTGTATGGAACGCTTTCAGCTGGCCGACCGACCTGAACGTGTTTAATTTAATTCCCCGGGCAAACTCGCTCCATGGACACTTGGGCAAATCGCATAAAATGCTAATAAAAATCAAATCAATTTCACAAGTGGTCGGCCAGTGGGGCGTGCAGTGCAATAAATTGTATCAGAGTCGTGTAACCAAATTGGTTGAATGGCCAGTAAGTGCATTAGTTTTGAGCGCTTCTGTCAAATATCAAATTGATGTGCAGCAAACTGTGGCGAGGGCTGGCGAGATGGAGATGGCCGGCGGAAGCGGAAATGCATTTCCGAAAACCGGAAATGCACTGCATTCGAATTGCAAATGGCGGCCAGCAGCCACCATGAATATGCAGGGAACGGCAAAACAACCTCGCCTGCCCCAGGCCCCTGGAAAGTTGGTAATTCCAGCATGTGGGCCAAGTTGCGGTGCAATAAATATTTCAGAAACACAACTTTCGGGGAGCTTTCGGAGTTCATTAAAGATGGGAGAACTAAATTTAAATTGCCGGCCAGCATGACCCGGCCAACTCCTTTGCCTGCTCTTTGTCCATTTGCATATTAATTAAACCTTACAGCCGAAAGGTCAAAATACCAAAATGCCAGCCCAGAAGCCATAAGCTGACCACACACACAAACTCACACATCCACATCAGCCAGCTGCTTCATTAGATGGCGAGGCATATTTTCGGGCGGAGCCCAGTTTAAGCCCATAAAAATTTAATTTCGCCTTAACAATGGCCGTATGGGCCAACAATTTGCCGTCAGCCGAAATTTATCTTGCTCACCCCGCCGCCGCCGCAATGTGTCACTTAAATATCAATTTAATTTCCATAATAAAGCCGCCGCCCCCAGGACATTTCCCCCGGGGGATTTTCCCTATGATTGACAGTTTGTTTAGCACGCCAGGATGCCAGGGTGCGGGGGTATACCCGAAAAGTAGTTGACAGAACATTGATTGAAATAAGTAGATCAAATATGTATTATTAGAACAGAGCAAATTTCGGCAGCGAAACAATCGCCCAACTATGGTTAATTGTATTTACCTTGCTCTCATCGCCCGAAGGAAAATGGCAGCAGGAGCCTTGAGTTTATTTACTTCTGATTATGGAAATATATATCTCTGATTGCAAGGCAAATACTTATTAACTTGATCACGGTTTAGTTGGGCACGACAAGTGGGCGGAAATCACTTAGTATGGACTCAATATTAACATGCCGAAGGTGTTTAGATAACTCAATCTTAGAAGGAAGAGTAATAATTCAATTTTGAAATCAAGAATCCAGAATGGAGTTGCTTTTCTTGGAATTTGAATATTATAGTTAGCACTTAAAGAAGGTGGCTCAAGGGTAATGCAGAGTAACTAAGGAACTAGTTAAGAAGTTTCTCCTGAAAGTCAGTTATTCATTCCAAGCAATAATAATACATGTTATCTGGGAATTATTCTTTTCATCAATTGTAAAGATGATGACATAACCTACATCCTAGAGAGTACCTAAGTAAACTCTCCTATGAACAAGTACTGTCATTATAGCACAGTAGTTTGAAGTTTGCTTATTAACTTTAGTGACCTTTAAACCCAATGTAGTTCTCTATCTCAAACCGACATTGCTGAACAGTGAGTGCGATATAAATCCATCCACGTTGTCATATAAAATATCCACGAGAATGAAGTGTGGCCATATAAAAGCAGTGCGAATGAAACAATAAAAGCAAACTTAAAAGTCCATTAAAAATGCTTAAGCGACTTTATAAAGTCGGCAGACCGCGTCAACTTGCTGACATTTAGGTGGGAATGGAAATGGGAAAGTGGATGTTGATGTGGGTGACTGGACTGCATAAAACTAAACTAAACCCAACTGAACTGAACTGAGCTGAACCCACACTCAGTATATAGCGTACACTTGATGGGCTGCTATTAAGGCAGAGAAAACAATTTAACGGGAAGATATTCATATTAAAAGTTCTTTCTTTAAATGAAAATTTCCCTAAAGCAATACTCTAATTTTATGTACTGCGAAATGTTCTTTTTTGGTATACAAATTTACTTCCTACTTAATTCATATTAAGCACATATTTTCTTTCTGTGCTGTTGTGGTCGCCGACAATAAATAGAAATCTCAATTTACGATGCGTTAGTTGAGCTGCCGTTCTGGATTTTTCCGAGAGGGCTTGGTGGTTACTAATGCCACTAGGATGGGACATTGTTGTTGCTGCCCACTGGAGGGGGCGGAGTGCTTTGTGGGCGGTAAGTGGGTGCAGTGTCCTCGCTGCGGGCCGAAACCCACTCGCCTCTCTAATGGCATTTGTGATGGCTGCGGTTATAGTCACCGTCGCCGTTGTCGATGATGTTGATTGGCGATTCGCCGGGCATGCATGGATATGTCTCCATCCCCATCCCCAACTCCATCAACAT